CTTGGCTCGATGTTAGTACCCATATCTGCTATCCAGACTAGGGAAGCCAAAAAGGACTTTATTAGCGCTACATATAGTGATAGCTGGGATCTTTCGGCTGCAGCTCCAGCAGGTTCCCCTCTGCACACTGAGCGCAGGGAGTCGCTTGCTCGGCACTGGTGCCATTCACAAGGTGTTCTCTGAATAGCCAAAGGGAAAGTACGGAAAGATTAAAAACCCCTGCCAGGTTACTTTTTGATATCTGTACCATCAGGGAGATTTCCCTTCACTTCCTGTCTCATAAACACAAAAGAAAATTAGAGGAACTCCCCCTAAAGTGAGGGGAATTCACATCTTAGACAGTTGTCACCAGAAAGGGTTTTCCCATTGGTCTCTTGTTCTGTCGTATTTCCCCTCACTTTGGTTAACAGGACAAACAGAGAGAGTGAATCCCCCCAACGAGATATAAGACTGACTTATAACCACACACAATAGCCCTGCTTGCCAGAGACCATGAGATCCAACTTCTAGGTCACATGAGGGAGTTCTGATCTGTCAGAAATCCAGGAAGCTCATAACTTTGTTTGAACTGACAACACTGGCTCTGCTATACTGACTTTCCAGGATGTGTCTCAGCCCTGCTTGAGTTCTCTCCCCTTCTAGAATACAATACACCCATCACTCTGCTCCCATCCATAACATAAAGGGGAGTGGTTCTGTAGTCCAGCAGGGGAAATCTGGGCGGGACTGACAACACTTCTTGGGATTTCAGTGCAGCGTTGTCGGGTTACTACAGGAAGTTAGGATCTCACTTGATTTCTGTAGGTGCAACAGATGTTAGATTTCTCTGCAATAGCAGCATTTTCTAAGACATGGTTATAAATTGATTTAAATGTTCAAATTGGTGAAAGCCATTTCTGGGTTCTGCTATAAACTGCATGATGTCAGCACATACAGTATGCTCGTAGAGGTTTGGTGCCGAGATAAATATGGCTCTGTTTGCTTGTGTAGGCAGGTATACTGTGATATGTGCGTCTATATATAGACCAAGTATTTGTATAAATCACTGCATTGGAGAACAGATTAGTGAACGTCTGTGCATTAGTCATGTTGTCTAAGGGCGGGCATACATGCGTAGTAAGAAAGGCAGACATCATGCTGACAATGACACGGTGACAGATCTGCCTGCCCTCAAACCCAGCAGAATTTTAGAATGTGAATCTTACCGCTATATTGTCCTGTTTCCTTTGCCATTGAAAGCAGGTGAGATTGAAGACCATTGTTAAGGGCTTCCTGTGTAAAGGTGCCCATACACTGTGCGATTATGACACGATAATCGCGGGAAATCGTACGATAATCGCAAAGTGTATGGAAGGCGTGCGACCGTTTTTACTGTACGGTCGCACGTCTTTTGTCTAGGGAGCACGCTAGAAAACCAGCCGAGAATCGTACAATTTTCGGCTGGTTTTTAGCATGATCGTAAGATCAATGCCGCACGGGCCGTTGTGTGCACGCGCACACTGCCCGTTCAGCATTGCGGTCATCGGAAGCCCGCCCCTCAGGGGGGCGGGCTTGCGATGATCGCAAGTACGATCTGCCTGTCCAAGATGGGCAGATCGTACGTTTTTTTTAATTACTTTACAACCATCGCAAGACTAAGGTCTTGCGATGGTTGTAAAGTGTATGGCCACCTTAAGCCAGTGAGCACTGATGGTTGATTGCACTATTTTTTGTCGTACATTGCGCAGCACATGGCCACCCTTAGGGCCAGTTTGCTCAGCATCTGTTGGGCTACATTGCTCAACGGAGGCCCTCTGCGATGCCAAGCTGAAATCCATTGTTTTCAGAAGGCTCGGTTCACACTAGCACAGGAGAGGATATATTAATATGGAGTTCAGGAGCCAGCGGGATTTTTTATCATGACACTATGGACACGGAGGTATTTGACAATTCATCAGTGTACACAGTGTTATTACTGGACCAGGCCATCCCATCCTGCTGTGACTGATGTGGTTATAGGGTTGACCTGAATCCATCATTCTAGAGATAAGGGGTTCCCAACGTTGCCTCTTTAGAGTATCTCTGGAATTAAATATTGCGCCAATCGGTATTTGTATTGCTCCTACAATGTACTAGATTGGGTAGCAAACCTCCGGCCCTGCAGCTGTGGTGGAACTACAAATCCCATGAGGCATTGCAAGATTCTCACAGCCACAGACATGACTCCCGAAGAGAGATGCATCATGGGATTTGTAGTTTCACCAGAGCTGGAGGGCCAGAGGTTTGCTACCCCTGTGACTAGAAGCATTACATTCAGAGAGGTGTAGACCCTTACAGGGTGCAGCCCATCTGTCACAAATATTTTATTACTTTTACTGAATTTTTTGAGTCTTGAATATAATATATGAAAACAGTTTGTTGCTGCTGCTTCATCCATAGATTTTAAGTTACTGTCCCCGAACAAGCATGTGGCAGGTAGTTAGAACAAAGCAGGAACTCCTGATCTGCGTGCTTGTTCTGGGTCATTGACTCCGAAGGTGCTGGATTAGAATGACAGCCAGTAATTGATCTTTAGAAGAAGGTTAGTAGTGGCAGCTCTGTACAAGTTTCCTTAAATACAGGAGCACTGAGGCCACTTTCACAATGTACGATCAGGAGGGGATCTATGCACAGAGACCCTGCTGATCGGGACAGATGTCACCTTCGTGACATCCGTTTCCGTCTAGCTTTTTCATCCATCCTGAATCTACCAAACCCATGTTAGTCTATGGGGAATCGTATGTAAATTCGGATTCTGAGCAGGCCTGCCTGAAAAACTGACCTAAGCGGAAAGCCTGTGTGACAGCACTCTTATGAGAAGTGCTGTTATTTTATTGGTGCAGTGCTGACTATGACCAGTAGAGGGGGATTGACACTCTGAATGTAACTCAAACAAGATAGGTCTGTCCTAATGTCTATGCATTCATTTATTTATCTACATACACCTAGAAATATATAGACACAAGTGTTTTATGATCCTATGAATACAAAATGTTTGACCCCCTCAGATGTTGCAACATCCCTAACCTGCTGTGATGGAGTCTATATTTTGCAACAAGTATGCCGTAATTAAGTCTGACTGGTCATAGAGTGCTGCAGTAGTCCTCCTCTATAACAGGCCCTGTGTCTGGTGATCCATTACTGCTCAGTCACCTGATTTTATGGGGGTGATTTTTGATCACACAGGAGAGCAAGGGAAGATTCCCCCAGTAACAGAATCCTCTGTGTAGGAAATGGACCAAACTGGATCTCATTTAGTTTGCAATCACACTGCACATCATAAAACAATCACCACGTGTGGTGATCGGACGCGTGGCAAGACTTTGCCAGCGTTCCGTTACACTGCAAACGCCAAAAATAGGGCTTGCTCTATTTTTTGCGTTTGCAGTGGATTGCAACGCTGGCAAAGTTTTGCCACGCGTCTGATCGCACTGCGAGCGGGGGGGCGTAGAAGCGGCACCATTGAATTCAATGCACAGACACGCTCCCTCCCGCCCCAGAACGCAGGGAGAAGTTTCTTGGCAATCACGGCGCGTTCCAGCAGCTACCGCTCTGGAACGCACACACTTTCAGTGTGAACAAGCCCTAAAGGAACATGTCTTCTCATTCTGTGTCAGTATAGCCACTGGTCTCCACCAGCAGGGCATGTGGCAGGGTGACAACGCAGGAAGGAGACTCGGACAGAGCCCCATAAAAGGAAGTGCCTGAACAAGTACGTTCATGGCAGGTATCATTTTAATCAACACTGTAGATTTTAAAAAGGTTGGAAATGACTTTTGAAATGACATGTTGAAATATAAGACAATATGAACTTATGTGATTGGGTTACATCTGCTGTGAGCTAGTCATGAACTCCAGTTTTTAGGCAATTTTAATGATTTTCAACAAACTTTGGACTGGAAAACCAATTGAACAAAATGTACTTGAAAATTGATGGGTGTATGGCTAGCAGTTGTCTTGCTTTGAACAATGAATGGAAAAGCATTCTTCTGTTATTGAACCATCACTGCCCTACTTTTGATGCCTTCTCCCCACTTGGCCAGTCATTAAATGGCACGCACAAACCGTAACAACCTCACCCTCTTCTCATTGTAAAATAACTCCAAACACAAGACAAAGTACCCTTGCAGTGTAGCCCCCTTAAAGAGGAGATATTATTTGCCGTAACCCCTGCTCTGGTGCTCTCCACGAAGCCTCTCTAAAGGTGCTCCCCGCCTCAGCCGCTCCAGGTACAATACAGGGTTAATAGCCACGCATTGCATAGGATGATGCCAAGGGACCACCTATTGCCCACACTGCCAGGGAGAAGACTTTGGCACTGTGGGCTGTTGGTGGTCCCTTGGTGTCATCATATGCAATGCATGGCTATTAACCCTGTATTGTACCTGGAGCGGCTGAGGCTTGGAGCACCTTAGAGAGGAGTCCTCATGGGAGTGGTTGCATACATGGAGGGAGCCTGCCAGAGGAAGGAATAAGCTAGGTAAATACTACTTATCCCTCTACCCCTAGACTTAATGAGCAGATAACCTTGCATTGTGTGTGGGAGGGGGGGGGGGGCTGGGGCAGGATAGGGGGGCCCCCCTCTGCAAGGGTTTTTGTCTTTTGCCTCCTATAATTTGGTTTTAATCAAAATGTCTTATTTCCCCCCACCCCCTTCCCCTGCTGAAGGGCATATACACATACCACCTGATCCTGGTCCCAATGTATTTCCCCTGAATTGAAAGCATAGCCCCCTATATAGTTACCCATAGACATTCATTTTGTCCATGTCTGTCCTAAAGAAAAGTCAGCAAACGGCCACCATGATGAGGTCCATTGTAAACATGTTCAGGTTTTTGCAGAAACACAGAGCAGTGTTGACTTGGCTGGAGCTGGACTCGATGTGGGGATAGGGCTATTGCTTTCTCTTCCAGCAAATTGTTTTTCTTTCCCCAGCTCTTTCTCAGACAGTGATGTGTTTGTTTTGTTGCAGTGATGATCAGGGTGATGATGTGCCTATAAGAAGAGTACTGGATACAGAGAGACAAGCCGCTCTCCTCCCCCTCCCCCTCCCACAGAGCTGGTAGAGGTGGAGTCTTTAGCAGCCTAGTGCTGAGTTCAGATTCCTGCTACTCACTGGCTAAACCTTCACAGCCTGAGGAGGAAGAAGCAGAGAGTTTTCCCAGGCTGAACAACATTACATGTCCCATTGCTCCTGCTGAGAGATAAGAAAGCCACCTACAGACTTTGTACCCTCTGCCTTCAGGAATCACCAGGAAGAGATCACCATCCCTCGAAGAGAAGGATAACTCAGAGGATACACTCCAGGGACCCGTCCTCTGCTGGTTTGGAGCTTGCGGGTCCTCTCCTCCTACCCCTGGAGATGCTCCAAAGACTATTCCTCTCTTTGGTAAATTCTTGGGGCATTCACTCCCAAAGAAGTGCCGGACACCCCAATCGCAGGTACATAGAAGTTGACGGCCGATAAACGTTTCAAAGGTTGAGTTTTCTTCCAAACAAGAGAGACGATTCCTTCGTACCCTCCTCCTCTGTAATCCTCAACATCCCATCTGCTTTCTCTTATCCCAAAACGCCTGGAGAAATTTCAGCCTCGGGGGAATCACTCATGGCTTTCCTGACCAAGAAGAAGAAGTTTAAGTTCCAGACCACCTTTAACCTGGAGGAGCTGATGGCCGTCCCATTTGTGAACGGGGTCCTCTTTTGTAAGGTCAGGCTGCTGGATGGAGGAGACTTTGTCAACCAGTCTAGCAGGTAAGTGAGAGATCATCGGGCGCACTTTAAGCCCTTAGCCCAAACCACTGCAGCTCTGAATTCTGCAGTAAACGTTTAACCATTACCCATAGCAACCGATCTAGTTCCGTATCGCATTTAAAAGGTATATCTGGTTGCCATGGGCAACAGCCCTGCCTCCGCTGTCATTTTCTTGGTTACTGTTTTCAGTCAGTGCCTTGGCAGCTCTGTCTGAATAGCTGGCCTGTTTGCTCACAGCACAATGTGAATAGTATCAATCGGGCCTTTTGTTGTGTACATATTCAGCATTTTTATTGCTCTATTTTCCATTGTAAGCTAAAAATACATGGAGGCTCGGCAAACTAATTGAAGTGCAATCTAGCAGTATTGAGTGCGCATGCTGTGCAGACTCCAATGCCTGACAGCTCAGGGTCTTGTTGACTTAATACTGTTTGTGTTCTGTGGGAACTGACAGTCATTTCAGTCTTAAGTTCAGGAAGATTTTTAGCTGTTAGGAGTGTAGGCACAGACACCAGACGATGGTCACCTGAATCAGACCTCCAACAGTTGGATGAGAACATGATGATAAATGTGTTCCCACAATGCAGCCTCCACAGACAGCCCTAGCCCGACCAAGTTTTTTGTTGGGGAGGCGATTGCAAAAGTTGAATCTTCCTGGACAATTATTGTTTTACCAAAATGCACATGGCACCATTGGTCTTTGCTCCATTCATAAACATGCACGTTTGGCCAAAAGGAACAGGTCAGAGAGACCAGATTGCTCTGCAGACAGATCTTTTGTTCCTGAAGGCCATTTAATGTCTACAGCTAGCCTATAAATGTTTGGGACTTGTGAGACTAGTGATAACATTAGAAGATAGTTGGGTGTAGAGGAACCTTCTGGCCACTATAACAATCAGATTGGTCAATAAACAAACATACTTGCTCTGATTGCGCAGACATGATTGTTTATGCTACGGAGGTTACCTGGGGTGGTTGGCGAATAATTTGTCATTACTCCAGTATGAACAATCACTATCCCCCCCTCCTTCCCTTGAGATGCATTGGACATGAGTGTCTGGCACTTCCCACAGGCATGACATTGTCGACCAATCCGGTAAAGACCACCTAATTTTCGGGGTAGCTGAAGAAAATCGTTGTAGAACTCTGTGGTCTTCAAAGCTCCATCTGTCACACTACGGACAACTTGATGTCTTTACGCATAACTCCCTAATACTACGGTAATTGGCCTCATTTTACCCAGAGGCACGTGCCTAAATACGCACACATTATTGCGTCCTAATTATCTTCCTGTGTTGATGAGCCAGAATGCATCCAAAGTATGTCTATTGCCCAAAACACATTAGTGACGCTGTCAGTTCAAGTATCTTTTCTACTATCTACTGACGGGCAGGAGGATTTAGGGAGCAACAATTACAAGCAATGGAAATCTCTGTTTGGCCGAAGCATCCGTATGGGCCCATTTACACTTCTAACACATGTTGTAATGCACATTTTGTACTTGTGTTGGCATATGATGTAAAGTGCATTGCAGTGTGTGTGTTAAATTGCATGTCAATATACATAGTCACAGGATTTCAATGGAAAAACATCTGAGCCTAAAAACAGAAATGCAGTCTTAAAATCATTGATAGATTATCTTTTTATAAGTAGCTATCCTCTTATGCTGTACATGCTTCTCTTGAATCATCTCCATTTTAGATCCTTAGAAGGCATTAAATGCCTCTATGGTCAAATCTACAAATACATTTGAATTTCCAGAAGTTCTATCCCACTTCTAATAACCGTATTGATCTAGCAGTTTGTAAACTTACTTATTGAAGATGCCCCTAGGATGCACTTCCTGACGACACTGACACAATGTCACTCAGCCCTGTGAATAGGCAGTTCTTTGTTGTCACAACTCTCACAGAGCCTGCCTTCTGCCATTTTTCTGGCCGATACAGCCGGTGCATCCTGGCCGCCTTTTCTCACACAGAGCAATGCCCAGCGGGGAGGAGAGAAAGTGTGACCGACGGCCGAGCGCTGCGGGAGGAGAGCGCTGTGAGCGGCCGGCTCAGCCTCCTATCAGTCTGGCAGAGCGGTGTGAGGGCAGAAACTGAGCTCTCCTCCCCACTCCACTCGCTCAGCATCCTGGGACAGCTGTCAAGATGGAGAGCGTTTGTACACAATTGAGAACATTGTTTTAAAAATTAATAAATATATAACGAAAACAAATTGAGAACATTGTATGTCTACTATATCCTCAATTATGAATGAATGGGAAGTGATCTACATCACCTCCTGTTCATTCATGATTGTGGTTATAGTAAACATACTCTGTGGACAAGTTATCAATAAACAGGAACACTCAGTATAGAGGATTCCTGTTCATTGATAACTGGGGCAGCAGAAAAAGAGATTGAGGACTCTGCGTCCTCAATCTCTGTTTCTATTTTAAAAGGGAAATATCAGGGGTCTGTTTAGACTCCTAATAGTCCCCCGAAGCCCCTAAAAGTAAACTAAAAATAAAAATATTTAATAAACTTTTTCATTTATTATTCATTTTTTATTAAAAATAAAATATTTTAAAAATGTGAAAAAAATTAAGATAACATTTTTGGTATTGGTTTCGGCCTGACGACATATTTTTTATTTCTGTTTTGAAATTTCCATTTTGGTGCACCTCTAGTTATAACAGGATAGTATATGCAGGATGTATATGCATACTTTAGTAATGGTCAGATAAATCCACTTGCTGGAGCACAGCTTAATGAAGCCCACGTGTTCCATTTATGATATTCACCACAGTGTGAGCGACATCATTAAGCTGCTGCAGTTTTTAAAGGAAACCTTTTCAGAGAGAAACATGAAGGTTGCCATTGCTATTTCTCATTTTGCAAATGCTGGTTTCCTGGCTGTCAAGTTCATCCTGCTGCTTCAGTAGTTTGTGTCTCTTACCTGGAACAAGTATACAAATAAGGATGACTGACAGATTTGAATATTTGTTCCAGGTCAGTGATTTAAACCTTATTGAACCCTGATGTACTAGCCAGACAACTAACCAAAGTGGATTAGTAATGGCATCCCCCGTTTCATGAAAGGTTTGTGCAAAGACCATTCGAGATGTGCAAAAACATGCAGTAACCAATCAGGAACTGCTTCTTAGAAATCTGACAGTGTATGGGCATTCAGTTGGTTGCTATGGTTACCGTGATGTGTTCAGGATTGCTTTTTCTTGCATCGACATAAACCTATTTTGAGTTCAGGGATCCATGTGAGCACCCTGAGTAGTGTAAATGTGCAGATACGTTGGCATGTAACCTGGTGGGGATGGGGGTGGGGTACTGAGTCCATGCATGCTTTCATTGTTCCAAGATACCCTTACCGTGAGTTGTATTTGGTGCTTAGCAAGGCAGAGATGCTAAAGTTGTAGTTGACCTTGGACATAACATGCCTCTATGTCAGTGGTTCTCAACCTGTGGGTCGGGACCCCATCGGGGGTCGAATGACGATTTGCCAGGGGTCGCCTAGTGGCTCTCGGCCGCTGGGAGAGGAACACTTTCTTCCGGAAAGGTCGGGGACCTTTCTCTGCTCTGTTTTATTTAATTTTTTTTTTAAATTGGGCGCCGCCGTCAGTCAGAAAAAAAAAAACCCACCATAGGAATGCATAGCTAGATTCCTATTGGCTATTTCACTTTGCAAAAGCCAATAGCAAACTAGCTATTGCACCCACCCTCTGATGCTGCCAATCAGCAGAGGGGGACGTGAAGTTCTCCATCAGGTCACCTTCTAGTGATTGACAGCAGCAGAGGGCGGGTGCAATATGTATGTATTCAAGCAAAAAAAAATATGTAAAACACACCTCTAGCTATGCATTCCATTTTCCCGGTCCGCAGCTGCAGAGATCGGGAAATGTCTCAGTGCCTGTGATTGGCACTGTGCGCTGTCAGCTTCCTGGCAGGCTCGGCACGTGGAGCTGCGAACACGCCCGAGCCCATCACTATCAGTGACAGTACTGCGGAGTATGTACCTCATACGTTATATAGCCACACACTTTAAATCCAATTCTTCTAGTTCCAGCTGCAGAGCCCGGTCCTGTCTTTGCCTATAGCAGTGGTTCTCAGCCTGTGGGTTGTGTGCAAGGTGAGAGTCCTCCTCAGCTCTCTCCTAGCGCAGCAGTGTCAGTTCTCCCGCCACGCCTCCAGATGTCGCTGCAGCAGCCGCGTCATCCCTAAATTTTAACTTTGGGGGTCACCACAACTTGGCAAATGTTACCAAGGGGTCCCAGCCCTAGAAAGGTTGAGAACCACTGCTCTATAACAACCAAGTATGTCACATGCCATATTTTATCATCTTTTCCCATTTCCCAGTGTGAGAAAGTATATAATATGCCATATCGTAGCCCAATCAAGTATATTATTTGCCATATGCTATCATAATGAAATATATCATATCCCAGCACAATCAGGTATGCCATATCCGAGCCTAATTAAGTACATGCATGCCATATCGCAGCCCAATCGAGTATATAATTTTAATGGTCCAAGCCCAATTGAGTATATCATATGCCATATCCCGGCCCAATTGAGTATATCATATGCCATATCCCATTCCAATAAAGTATATCTTTATCCAAAACGTTTTAGATGCAGATAGAGCAGGGAAGGGTTATAACCCCTGTCAGGTTTGTATGTGCCAGTGTATCCACTGGGGAGGAGATGAACCTTTTTCTATTTGTCTAAAGGTGGTGGAAAATCTAACATTTTACAGCATGCGAGTGGGAAATTTCCAATGAGGTCACCTGTTCTGATGACAGTTGTCTAAAAGGATCTACCCTCACTTCCAGTTGTATCTTCAAGACAGGCAACGAAAGCAGATCTTTACAATGGGCACCTGAGGAAGGTTTTAACCATTGTCCATAAGCACAAGACTTGAGGAGACTAAGATTAAATTTGAGGACTGTTACAAGAGAGATGAAGGTTTAAAAAAAAATCCCACTATTGCCTCCATCTTGGTGC